CTAAATCCCGACTAATCATGAACATATGAACACCATGTATTTTTTGGTGCTTAACTAAACTGTCTACAATGACCAAATAAGAAAACCACAGATAAGGATCCTTAGATGATGAAAATGTAACTCGATCTCTATATTTTATAACCACAAGAATACCTCCACGGACCGTTAATTACCACATGGTTGCTTGACACGAATCCACATATTCATATAACGTCCTAAAACATTCCTTTAATTAGTTTCTTTCCTTAGTAATCTTTTTAAGGAAATAAATTTAAAACGAAAACGGAAACTCAAAAGCATAACAAATTCTCGAAGAAACATTAGAGCATCATTATCCATGAGATTTGGTGGGTATCATTAGATATAAAATTATTAAAACACACATTCTCTCTTCCTTTTACTCAACTTTATACATTCTCTTTCATCCTTTTATTCAACTTTTATTAATTTTATATTTAAACACATCCCAACTAAAGTTTAAACTCTCTCCAAAAGTATCAATCCATTGATACAAAGACACTCTCTCTCCAAAAGTATCAACTCATCTCTTCTTTTTACTCAAATTTTATTAATTTTATATTTCAATACACTCCATTATTTCAACCAAAAACACTCTTTTTTTTCTTTTTATTCAAATTTTAATAATTTTATATCTAATGATATCCACCAAATCTCATGGATGATGATGCACTTATCTACATTTTGAGAACACAAGCCCACAACCGACACGCATGAAACACCATGTGCAATTCATACATTGATATTTAAGCCGTTTACACTTGCAATCACAAATGCAATATATCACAACAACAAATGAAATCATATGGAATTCAAACTTTAGGGTTTTTTTATAAATCGTGAAAATTTTAAACTTTTGGTCTATAATTTCTTCAGTATCCGTAATAAAATTTTAAATATTCTAATTTTAAAAACAAATATCCGTTTCAATAGAAAATTGAACATGTAACACAAAAGAACCAACCATATTTTGTTACAACCATATATGATTACTACCATATATATATGAACCTGCATGTGACACCATCCATTTGTAATTCGAACTTTAGTTTCGACCAAAAGAATGAATCTTCAACCATCGAACCAATTACTTGATACGAATCCAAATTATCTCCACATACATTACCTTTAAAAAACATTCCATTAGTTACCGCTCTTACTAATCTTGTACAAGGAAAGAAATTTGAAATATAAAAAGAAACCGAAAAACATAACAAATTCTCCAAGCAACGTTGTTAGCATTTGATTTGTCCATTTATACACATATATCTGCTAATTATCGCATTATTTTATCATGAAAAGATTTTACTCATAATTAACAGCAACAAAAACATTTGGAGGCCTCCACTGGTTAACACGTACCGGTATCTTCACAAATTTTCCTAACACATACTTACACACATCTCCAAAAGGGGAATAACTAATCAAATAAAACACTTTAGAATATAATAACAAGAAAAATATAAAAAAAATATTCGTCGAGGAAAATCAAATGAAATGTGGTAGGTGAACGATTTGACGGATTTACCCCCAAAGACACGTTAAGACTTTCGTCTACAAAAATCTATCTAACACCACTATATAATCCCTTCCTTCTCCACCATTATCTCTCAGCTTGCAAGTTCTCTAACTCCAAGCTTCTACTGTACTTCAATACGCAATCCGTCAAAAAACAATAAACATTTTATTTTCTTAGTGAAATAAAATCATGCAAGCTGTTTCTTCGCCTGCGTTCTCGTCCGATCTCAAATCTGTTATTCAAACGAATCTAACGGTCAAGAGAGCGCGTTACACTCACGTAGATGCAAAGCGCGTGGCTGTTCGTTGCGGTTACAGGTCTGAGTCGTTTAGTTTCCCTAACGGTGTTGGCTCGAGCCGAGCCGATTGGCAAAGCTCATGCGCTATCTTAGCCAGCAAAGTAGTTTCAGCTGAGAATACCAACGGTTTAGCCGATCAAGTCGCTGCCGTTAACGGACACAGTAACGGCTCCGTCAATCTCAGCCTTGTTCCGTCGTCGGAGACAAAACACGGGAAGCCTGGGTTGACTCAGCCGTTAACGATAACAGATCTATCGCCGGCGCCGTCGCACGGATCCACCCTCCGTGTAGCATATCAAGGAGTTCCCGGAGCGTATTCTGAAGCCGCCGCCGGAAAAGCTTACCCGAACTCCGAAGCCATTCCCTGCGATCAATTCGACGTCGCGTTTCAAGCGGTTGAGCTTTGGATCGCCGATCGTGCTGTTCTCCCTGTGGAGAATTCTCTCGGTGGTTCGATTCACAGAAACTACGATCTCCTCCTCCGTCACCGTCTCCACATCGTCGGAGAAGTTCAGATCCCGGTTCACCACTGTCTCCTCGCTCTTCCCGGAGTCCGATCAGATTGCATCGCGCGAGTGATTTCTCATCCTCAAGCTCTAGCTCAAACCGAAGGATCGCTCAACAAACTCACACCAAAAGCAGCGATCGAAGCGTTTCACGACACAGCCGCGGCGGCTGAATACATCGCGACGAACAACCTCCACGATACGGCGGCTGTAGCTAGCGCGAGAGCAGCAGAGCTCTACGGATTACAGATCCTCGCCGACGGGATCCAAGACGACGCCGGAAACGTCACGCGCTTCCTCATGCTAGCGCGTGATCCGATCATCCCGCGGACGGATCGTCCGTTCAAAACGAGCATCGTGTTCGCGGCTCAGGAACACCAAGGAACGAGCGTTTTGTTCAAAGTGTTATCAGCGTTTGCGTTTCGAAACATCAGTTTGACGAAAATCGAATCGCGGCCACACCAAAACTGCCCGGTGAGAGTGGTCGGAGAAGGAAACGCCGGTGGTGGAACGAAGAAGAACTTCGAGTACACGTTCTACGTGGATTTCGAAGCGTCGATGGCGGAGGCGCGTGCGCAAAACGCGCTTGCGGAGGTGCAGGAGTACACGTCATTCCTCAGGGTGCTGGGAAGTTACCCAATGGATATGACTCCATGGTCAACGTTACCAAGCCAAGACGTATGACCTTAATTATTTATCT